ATTTTACTCCGGCGTTTTCTGTTTGTAATTCAGCATAAATCACAATACTATGTTCATATGCATATAGTTGAAATTTCTCCTATAAGATAATGTTAAATAAATTGAGTTTTGAACATTTCTAAGTGTTGTCTGAACGAGCATATAACTGACTTGAGAAGTGCGACAACGCCTTAAATAAACAGAAATAGAAGCTGGGACGAGGGTTCAACAGTACACCACATGAACGCTGATTGGTTAATTCGACATCATCCCACTTTGACTCATGTACAAAGTGTCCTTCGACCGTGATAATAAAAATAGCTGTCCAGCCTATAGTCAGTGGAAGTAGTCCGAGTAAACGATTGAAAAGCTACAATATAATATATATATATATATATATATATATATATATATATATATATATATATATATATATATATATATATATATATATATATATATATATATATATATATATATATATATATTAATAGTATATAGCTAATATATATATATATATATATATATATATATATATATAGCTGCAACCATTTGCAGCGGTCCATAAATAACGGCAATGCCTGCGTCACTTATAGTGCTTTTCCCTAGAATACTTTAGACAGAAGTAAACGTCAAACGAATGTTCATCACTGTTCTAGGTCGGAATAATAAGTAGCCTAACATCTCGTTCTTTGAAAGCCGAGTTTACAGTAAACGGTGAACATTCTTATTTGATTCAAACTACCGAAAGTCGAAAATGTTGATGTTTTGTTGGCTTGTAGTACCCCCAAAATTTACAGGCCGCGATATTTTATTTTACAATATGTAAGACCAACCTTTAATCTCTCCATACAAGTAATATTACATTCATGGCAAGTCTAACTTTTGAATTATTTAGGGGTTTTATTTCACCCATTTTTTAAGGAACTTGGAAATCTTTATTTTAGTCAGTCATGAATGATGTCATTTCTATATTTAGAAAATATATTTGAAAAATTTATAGATACCTTGTTACTTAAGACACATAAATCTACTATTGTGTGGAATGATTGAGCTTTATCATTATTTTTGTTTGATGCATGTACAGAGGTTTAAAAATCAGTAAAAATGCACTATTAGGAAACTTACAGCAAAAATCATAATTTTAGCCCTCAACTTGACCCCCTCATGGAACTTTGCCAAAATGCAATTAGACTGAAAACAAAATGTATTTTGAAACAAGCCCTATAAAAGCAATCTCAACTACAAAGTTTGAGAGAAATCTATTTTTTTATCTAAAGAGGCCATGAAGATATATAAGATGAGGATTCTATAATTCTCTTAATATGTGGGTCCAACACAAAATAGTGTTCAGGGACGCCGAAACAATGTGAAGGCAAGGGAGGGGGGCAGATTTTCGTGAAAGGGCACTTTTTAATTGACATATACTAAGAGATGTTTGCAAAACAGCGGGAGTTGAACTTCGCCTAATCATGTTTTCTATTTATTGGATGATAGGGGTGTGAGGGGGTTTTCCGCCAGGCGATTATGCTATTCTTGCAGCTCGATGACTGCATTTCTTGCGTTTTCTGAAGCAAATTCGTAAAAGAATCGCACTAACATTTCTGACAATTCGCTATTTCGCCAAGGCAATCCTTTAAATTGAAAGGGCACCTTTACCCCCCTTTCCCCTCCTGGTAAAGGGCAACGGGGGCGGCTGCCCCTCCTGCCCCCCCCCCCCCCAGTTCCGGCGTCCCTGGTTGCCATGTTGCTAATCGGAATCCTTTCGAGAGAAAAAAAAACACTAGAACTTTCCATGTTATCATTCCATTCTGATAAAGACGTCTATGCATGACAAATATACATTCATAATCAATGCCATTCAATTGAAGCAGATTAGCTTAATATACATACAGTATAAGGCCAAATTAACTTAACCCATTGGTATACCCCGCATTAAATGTGTCCGAAAAAACTTAACGTCTGTCTATAGCATAATTAGTTCTCACTTTCCCTACTTTGTACTGTGAAATTGTGAGATGATAATATATATTCATTTGAAACAGTACTGTTATTTTCCGTGCATACAGTAGGCCCGGCTAACAACAGCAGTGTAGGCTGCCGGCTATAAAGCACCGCTGAATATAAAAATATCCAATTGCTTCCAACTACTATATGATATGCTCTGATCAGAATAAATCGCCAAATCGTTGTTATCGCCGTTTCATCTCACAATGAATGTTATATTTTTCTCATGCAATTAATAGTGGGCGGCGAGTTCATGTGCGAGCAAATATTTTGCATTATTGTTGTCTGAATTAAAATCTTTGCTCATGCAGCTGCGGCGGACACAATTATTAGAAAAGTTATAACTAAGGAAGACATACGCAGATTATTTTTAACAGATATACACGTTTAGATTATCATTAAAACAAAGACAGATGTGCTCCATCTAAATTGCTTACGTTGAGCAAAATATGAGCTCACACTCGTTCACGCATAATATATTCGTTATATTTAGTTGGTTAGAAAAACAAGTGATCATCGTCGCTCGTTAAGTAACGGATTTTTCGAAAACTTTATAGTCACATATAATTAATTATATCAGTTAGGCGACCAGAAATAAGAACGTCCAGTTAGTATAAGGAATTGGGACTAAATTTTTAGAAATCCGATATGCATTAGACACGTGACATGCATTATAGCATTGTATGGCTTTTTTATGAGTAAATGTTGATGATATATGGAAAAAATGCTGAGTATAGCACATTGCATTTTTAAACTTTAAAATAGCTCATAATTTTTAGCTAGTAGGCTAATTACATGCTTTGTTTGCGAGACAAACAAAGAAATCCCCCTATAGCGCTAAATGGCTTCAAACCTTTGATATATGTGAACGACATCTTCATGTTCTACCTGCAGGCAAACCGTAAAAGTGAATTGTGTTTTTTCACCTTTCTGGAACTTGCTAGAGCTCAAATACATATTCTTTCAAACTGGGTTGGTGTACTTCAAGGTAACATATTACTCGTTTCTTACTGGAGCAGAAGTAAATACCATATCACCTATTTATTGATACCGTACTGCAATCAGCGGCATATCTATTTTTATAACTGTCTGAAATATAGTGTTAGCCTCCGAGAAACGATGTAATTGATGACTACTTCATTTTTGCAGTAATGTTATGCTTTAAGAATTTGAATCTGAATTTGCTATATAAAGGCAAGCGATAATCTAACATGCACATTTGACATTAATAGTTACACCGTCATGCTTTATTAACTGTAACTGTAATTATAGTGTATGCAGAAATGTGAAAAATGTGATCATGCATGCTGAGCGGTTGCGACAATCTTGTACGTAATAACTAGGCTTCAACAGTAAAACTAATGCAAAATCTGGACATTCTACAGTTTAAAAGTGTCTACTGTATCGGACATGATTAAATACATACGTACAGTTTGAAAGTATATTGTACGGTATTCCGCATGAATACATAGTTATAAAAAATATTTCATACACAAATGGACATAAATCTCCACAAATCAGAACAAAATCTCCATACTAGCTTTATTTAAAATATTCTAACAAGCATGCATGCAAAAGCAATTGAAAATCGTCAAATAAAATAAAGAAAAACTAAAATTAATATTTGAATTATCAAAAAATATACGTGAGCGAAATTTTCTGAAACTCAGCAAGTATTTACATTATGAAAGTACATGTGTGATAAATGTATAGGTGTTAAATTCCATGTAACACCTAATCACTGTAATGTTAATATAAACCATACCTCAAGGGCTGATCAACGGTTACAAAATTGTTAAATTCCTGCGACAACGTACTGGCCAACCGCGCACGGAACAACAGGACTGCTGCAGGAAAAGCTTTCGATAGCATTCCATGCGAGCGTCTTCTTTCAAAATTGAGCAGGTGTGGAATTGATGGTAAAATTCTGGGGGTAGTCAAGAGACTTTGCAACTCAGCGAAAGCAACGACTCATTATTCAAGGAACTTGTTCTAATGGTAGATCTAACGTAATATCAGGAGTTTCCCATGAACTATTCTGGGACCTGTATTATTCCTGCGTGTATCTAGTAAATGACAAAAAGTAATAGCATCACAACTAAAGTTTTATACGTTGATGATACAAAAAGGCACACGCACGAGTTTGGAAGATTAAAATCAAAACGTCAGGAAATAATTATGCCAAAGTGTTGTATATTATACAAATGCAACACAGATGACTGCCCAAATTATATGAGACAGTTTTTAGTTAAAAACTCAACTTTACATGGTAGACAAACTGGGCATGGTCAATATAACCTAGTGTGCCCACGCTATAACATGGAAACGGAAGATGGCAGAACCTTCCACATTAGTGCCATAAAGTTGTGGAACAGTATCCTGGTCGAGATAAGCAAAAAGGAAACAATTGTTGCCTTTAAAACTGGCTTAAGGAAATACTTATTAGATTCCTTGTAATCTAAGGAAATAGTTTAGTTAGTTTAATGATGATATATTTAGGGGGGAACTTTCTTACAAGTGTATAAACAGTTTAAATTGCATGCTTATCTATATATTTAAGTATTTACCATGTATGTTTTTACCTTTTTAGATTGTAAATTTTTAGAGAGGGCCACATGTTTGTCAGTGTTAACTATTGCGTGTTACCCTCGTTGAATAAAGTGGTTACTGTGGAAAATTTATTTATGTGGAAAATTAGAGTGGAAAATTTAATTTTGTGACAAATATTGGGTTAAATGGATACCGTTATTACTCTTCACTCAACCGTTTATTGGGAAATATTTGTTGCATTTCCATTGTGTCGATTGGTAACAAGCACCTAACATAAAAAAATGTGTTCAATGAGTCTCCCATATACACCTCTTCAATTGCACCTCTTCTTATTTATCCCAGATTCCCACGCTCGTCCGCGCAAGGCCATCGCCGCTTGAGAGCGAGGGGACAATAACAATAACAATAACTAAAACAAAAACATGAATTGAAGTGAACTATTAACCAACTTGTCCCTACTGTTTTTCAGGTTTTCGTGATATGCCGATGAGGTCTGTTGCAATGCTCCCATTTGTTGCTATTCTATTAAAGAAAGTGGTTGAGTGTTATATATCCCGTGCAATTGCGATTTTTGGTTTTGATCCAAATATCACACCCGAGAGTGAGGAGAACATTGAATCAACATGCACAGAATCATCAAATGTGAACGATCAACAATCGAGTTCAGAACTATTGAATTCTACTTCTGAGACAAAAGCTGTATTTGTAGAAACTTTGAATTCGTTAGATCTGTTTGAGAACTATCTGAAGAGTCGAAGCGAAGAAACTGCCAAGCCGTTGAAACTGTTGTTTGATCGCGGAAAAAGTGCTCATAACGAACTTTTTACACCAGATAAAATCGATGATTTTCTGGACATTTTACGTTCCTTTTTAATTAATAAGTGTTCCCACGACGATAAGGAAAGTGAGAGTTTTCTAGATTGTGATCAGGGAAGTTCAAACTCTGGAAATGGAGAATTGGGCAAAGACGTTGATTTAAATTCTACACCAACCAATATTTGGGAAGAAGCTTCTAAACTAGATTTAGTCAACGAAAAATTTTCTCCACTCTCACCAAATCGTAAAGGAAACCAGAAGAATTTTGAAAGCCACCAAGCTAGCAATCACAACAACGTAGGAAATGCACCCACGATATTTGAAAATAATTTGGTAAAGGAAGATTTTGATAAGATACCGGTCCAAGGAGAAGATTTCGTAAGTTTAGATGAAGATTCTTCAATCGGTCCATTACGTAACAAAGATAAAAGAAACAAGGAGCTAGAACGCAAAATATCCAAAGATTCGAGTATGGTATGTACTGTATTCCCACAGTTTAACAAAGAAAAGCAAAGCAAAGGGATTCACGGAAATCTTAAATATTTCGATACAGAAAAAAAGATGAAGTCTGAGAAGATGTTAGAAGAAAAAGCGTTGAAATCAAAGAATTCCATTCAATTTCCGAAGTCGCCAGCCATGATGATATCTCTGAGAGTGAAAGACCTGGAAGACGAAAACCTTTGTCTTAAAAGTCAAATGAAATCATTACAAGCTAAATACGAAGATATTTTAGCTGAGCTTGGTCAAATCGCTGTTCAGAAAACTGCAAAGGAAAACGAAGAAAGAAGATCTGAACTCTTTCAGGAAATATTTCGTTCCCCATCGTCCGAAGCTACTACATTGCCTACCAATAAACACAGACCAAATAATGATATGAATGGCTCTCTAAAATTTCTAAAATCTCAAACTACAAATGAAAACGCGGATACACCGTCAGTTGCTATCTATCCAACCACTTCGACTGAACAGCATGTCGATGGCGCAGAGGCCTTGGTGCAACGAAGTAATCATCAACCTGGAAAAGAAGAGATCGTCACAAGTGGTAAAAACGAAAGCGAACTTCAAAGAGAAGATCGACAAAGTACTGAGATATCAACAATCAAGGATAGCAACGAAAATCAAACTCCATCAACGCAAAACTCATCGAGTAATAATACATCGAGGGAGAAGACAAGTGGCGGAGAGGGAATAAATCAATCTCGAAAAGTACAGGGAGCCAGAGGTTTAGTATTGACATCCCGCCAAAGCTATGAAAATTTATCGCTCTCCGTCCAACAAGACGATTCTGGAACAGAATACATATCCCTTGGTAATGTACCACCTACATCTGTTGCAACAACCTTGTACAACAACTACAAGCTCCTGTTACTATCCGTGGGTCAAAGACTTCTTTCCTGCGACGTCGTAAAACTGAATGGCTGGGCAAGTCAGAATTTCTCAATCAGCAACCCACAGAATGCTACCGATATCCTGTTTCAACTTGATCAAAAAGCAGTCATCAATGCCTCAGATTTAAGTCAACTTTCTCATTTCTTTGAATCTATTGTCAGAATTGATCTTGTGTATATTATCGACGCATTTCTCCTTGGTGATTATAGTTTACTTCGCCAAACGTCAGCACCCAAACAACAAGCAGCAAATGCAGCCCAAACCTCCCAGTATCGCTCCACTACAATGTATCAAAGCATGTTCAATGCAATGAGCACTGGTCGTCAATCTTTGGTCAATACAGCTGCTAGCGGTACATTACAAACCAGTCCATGCAGAAATCCAGCAACTATAAGGAAACCAGGAAACGGCAATGGAGCACAAAGTTCTGTCCCTCAACAAACACAACTGGCAGCTTTCCGAAATTTGTCAGATACAGCCAATCCAACACACTTCCCTAGGTCTCCAAATGAAAACCAATCCACGGCCTCTCAGCAGCAAAACCTTAAACCAGCTACAACTGGATTTAGTCCAAATAGAATGGCTGATATAGTCGTTGCTGATGGCTCTAGTTTTACAAGTAAGTGTTTTTATATATTTTTGACAGACGAGATTTTAAAAATTGAGCAGATGTCACTTATGTCAGCGAACATATAACAATCATATTGACTATGATTTAATCAAGCTTCCCCTTTAAAGATCCAAAATTGTAAGCGGAAGATATCTATTTCTGAGCATGAGAAGCACAATGGAAGTTATTTCATGTACTGTGAATATCCCAATCTTTATGCGTCTATTGGATTTTGAACATTGCGCAACGAAACCTCCTTTCCACATTTATATTGAATCATTGTACAATTTATATTGAATCATTGTACAATTGTAACTTCTGTTCTTATCTATCAGATGTTACCCGAGTACTAATAACTTTAATAGAATAACTTTTAATGGATTAGATGCACTTGTATACTGTACAAAAGACGCATTGTTGTAAAATAATACACCCTTCCGGAATATACTTTGGCTATAGAATCTCGTTTTTCTGTTTGCGATATGAATTAAAGCCCAACATCTCAATCACAATAACAAGCCCTATAGACAAGGTGACGTACTTTCTGGAAGGGTCTCAGTTAAAAGGTAAGGGTCTGGAAAGATCATATAAAGACTTGTACTTACCGCTAAACTGGGAGAACACTGCCTGGAACAGATAAAGCTATTCACGAGCGATTTTCCGGCCGGAGAAAGCATTCTTAAGATGAAAGTAAGAGCCCAGCATAATGCTTCAAATAGAGCCATAGGCGCATATATAAAAGTTTTATTATCAGTGATGTGTCGTCTTAACTCAAGGCATCATTCATTTGCGTTCCTGTGTCTGTGAGTTCATACCTTGCAATATAGTAACGCAGATATATTCGTAATCTTTTTCGTTGTAATTTTACTGTTTGTCTGATGACGTCTTGAGTTAAAACTAAACGTCACTCTCAATAAAACTTAGAGAGAAATGAACAATAACAGAGAACTGAGAGTTTGAAAGAATTTGTTTCGTTTGAAAAACAGGCGAAAGAAGAACAATGGCAGGAAATTCTTTGACAAGAACAAATCCATCAGTGACAGGCAACCCACGAAATCCCCAGGCAGTCGGAAGCAATGGTTCAAAACATTCCAAATTTCAACGTCCAGAAACAGAACGAAGCAGCATTTCTAATTTCCAACCCCCTGGCGGTTTTCGTAACCACTACCCAGACAGAGAAGATAATTGGTTATGTAGTCACTACAAACGACATTGTTACGTCAAATTTGAATGTTTCGACAGCTTTTGGCCGTGTCATCGTTGTCATAACAACCAAAGCACGTGTGGCCGAAAGAAACTTAAATCCCGTGACACGAAGATGCTGAAGTGTGTATATTGTAACAAAGTGCAACAGGTAACTCAAAATTCATGATGTACAAATAATGTCAAAGCTAAGGCGTGCATACTTGCCCTGATTTCATTCTTGTGTCTTCTATGTGTCACACTTTTGTCGTAGTTTTAAGTTTAATATCAGTCATTTGCGTGAATAGATCAATCACATTTGTTAATTGAACGCAAATAGTCTATCAATTTGAATCTCTGTGCTAATTATTTTTGTTATTAGTTTGGTAGTTCTTGCTGCGATTGTGGTGCAACATTTTCCGAGTATTACTGTGGATTGTGCAAACATTTAACTGGCAAAGATGATAATCCCTATCATTGTGAAAAATGTGGAATCTGCAGGTGTGGTTTAGTTAGCTTTCATAACACGGCATTGTCTTACGCAAGCCATAAGTAAGTGCATATCATGAAAGATTCACAATAAATAAACAAATAAGATTGTCGATTACATTGTGGTTAATACATCTGCTTTCTACCTCTGGGAAACAAATGCTTAAATTATACAATATCTAGTTGTCTCACTCTCACCATAAATTTGCCTCATAATCAGATCAGGCCTAGCCTGAACAAACACTAGCTGCACTACATTTAATTGATAAGCATTTAGAACTTGAAATCATTTGCTAATGAGAGATGGGCCTTACTGGAGCTCCGGAAAAATCGCCAGTAAAAAAACAGATGGAGCTTCCCCGGCAGTAGAAACAAATTCTGTGAAATATATTATTTTAATTTAGAATTCATGGAGATCGTTCGTTTCATTGTGATGTCTGTGGAGTTTGTTTGGATGTCCAGCTTCGTGGAAATCACAAATGTCGTGAAGACTCTGCCCATGATGAATGTTGCATTTGTTTGGAGGTAGTGTATCAGTTCGAGCTCTTGTATCAAATTTCTGGACAGCTAAGTTGAATCCATTCTGCTAATTGACTTGAAATGGCATAAAGGTTGTTCTCCACTCAATGAACCTATAGCATTTGTTGTGCCAATGTCTCTAGTTACATTGGTGCTTACGAAATAGTGACATACGCTACGAATCACTACAATAAGGTTTATGTGTAAACAGAATTTAATATGCTCTCGGCATTAACTCGGATCATAAAACGGATTTTAATTTCTTTTCGTGCAGGATGCCTTCACTGGATGTCAAATCCTTCCCTGTTCTCACAAAGTCCACAAAGAATGTGCAACTCAAATGATACGGAGCGGAATGTGAGCACTTGTACTTTTATAATTTGGAGATTTTAAAAGTGTAGGAAGTATTGATAACTATTGTGAATTCGTGTACACACGCGTGAGGAGAGGCAAATCCTTTCAGTAGGAAAGGATAAAATCCGAAATTTAGTGCATTTTTTGAGAGAGTGGACGGTACTGAGCTTGCGGGCGAGGTGCAGTCTATTCCCCCAAATAACCGGCCCTCAGGATTGAAGCACTTGAACTAATTAAACCTAGCTATAATACGCTGATAAATGATTACTACAAGTCTTTTGTTTCACTTGACTTTGTTCTTTTCAATGGAATTCGTTAACCTGACACGCTATAATCAGAACCTTTCCACTACTGACAGATTTTCCAAACAGTATGATTATACGGGGGGGGGTGTAAAATAAGGAGGACAGTTTTTATGGTTAATAATCTTCAGAATAGTATATGTTCTTCTAATTCTGAGAAAACGTACATCATCAGAAAGTATTAGGAGTTGTTTTTTACTGATTTGTTTGTAAAGTTAGTTTAATTTGTTGAGTTTCCTACTCATTGGTGAGCGGGTTTTAATTTCAACATGCTATTGCCCAATTCAGCAATTGATAGGGCATTGGAGGTACCTATACGACTTAACTTCCTTGACTGAGAAGACGCAAAAGTCTAGCCATTTAGTGATGTCAACGTAAAGGTAGTTCTTCCTCCTCAATTATTTTAAGACCTTTACTACAGGCCCGAACAAGGATTGAACCCCGGTTTCCCAGCTTGAAAGGCAAGCGTGGTTCGTGATGTAAGACGCGGCTCACCACAAGTGCTCGTATAGTGTAAAGCAAAACTTGCTGGTAATTTTCAGTAATTGTGAGTCCCTGTAGGTGCATTTTTCTGCTAAAGATATTAGTGAAACTACCCAGGGATTTCTTCCGGTGAAACAATATTTATAATCAATATATCGAATCATTATAGGGAGTTCGCGCAAGCTTAAAACATGCGTGGTAAACCGTAATTATAACGCATTTAAAGTTATTAACTGAATTGAAAAATATAGTGCATATAAAAAGTCGTAGTTACTGTACTTCGTTTTCAAGACCTATTTCCAATATGCCTCAATGTTTCTTTTTGTTTATATTGCAAGATATTTTCATTGCTGGTTATAATCTGAATGTCTCCACACCGAACAATCTGAGAAATTGCTTGACCGCAGTGGGAATCGAACCGCGACCTTTGTCGTCCATGTCCAAACCTTTCTACCATCTGAGTGACGAGGTTGGTCCTTTGTGTAAACATACTCAGAGTTCTAGAAATACAGTACATGCATGCAACAACCCCTCGCCTATATTTTCCAAACATTGTTTCAACATGAAGTATTCGTAATTACGTCAACACTGTACACTGGCTCGCGTTGTTCACGTCATGTTAGTCATGGCAACACGATAATTGTTTGTTTTTATTTTTTGTACAAAACTGTAAAAAATAAATTAAACTTGAACACTTTTAAATACAGAACTATCAATTTCTAAAATATATATTTAGTAGGTATATTATTTTGCTTTCTATGCAAGGGCTTTATTTTAATATAAAATTCAAAACAAAACCTTTCGTAAAACGTTTTTAAATGTGAATTGAAGTTAACTGCTTTTTGCCGATAAACTCTTCTTTTCGAGCTTTCAACTTAATACTCGATCGCACTTTGAAATGAAATAAATTTAATTCATACAGGACGTTAATAAAAATGATTTGCTTTCCTTTTAATTATGAATTTCTAACTAAGAAACTTTTGCATACAATCATAGGAAAGACTTGAACAACAAGACCAAAGACAACGTCTATATTAAATATACAAAGTCATACATAAACAATTGAACAAATTTGCCCTATACTTTAGGATTTCTCATACTAAATCAATTCTTGGTGTTTACGTTTAAAAATTGAAAAAAGTTTTACAATTTGTTATGTGAAACAATTTTCCAAGCTTTCTTACATGTTTTTTTATATTTTTGCTTCCTTCAGTCCTGGCCAACAGCCATATTTTGAGATCAGTGAGATGATCACCCATACACCATGCGCCCGCGATTATTGATGAACTTTAGACTTCGCTGATGCTTTCCTTTCCTTTCCGCGGGTGTAAAGGCCCATTTCCACTCAAGAAAAATTCCCAAAATGTCATTGTTAAAAGTTGAAAATTTTCAAGTTCAAAATTTTTTTCCGACGGAAAATTTGTGTCGGCCAATCGCATTTTACAAAATTTTCTTTCCACGGAACATTTTCCTGAGTGGAAATGGGCCTTAAATAGCCGGGCGGAATTAATACCCTCGCCCTGGGCTTTTGCCGGGAACGGGGCTCCGCGCCGTTGGTTCTGGGATAAAATTTCAGCAAAACGCTACACCAACTGAGGTACGACGGTAGCTTCTTCTTGTGTGGAGACAAGTACTCGGAGCAACATCGGCAAAAAATTCAACCTGAACGTTTTATTCTAGTAAGTTTGGTACATGCCGAATATGCATAAACTTAACAAACAAGACGTAATGCGATTATGCAATTAATATTCAAGCAATGTTATATTCCCAGCAAAGGAGTCACGCCATATTGTTTATAGCTGTCCATCATACAGCCAATTGCAGTTGAGCTTGCAGCTTGCATTTTAAACGCGTTTTAGCATCGTTGAAAAGTATGCGTTCATTCCTTGGAAACACGCCGTTGCTAGGGGCGTAACGTGAACTTTTGGCGCGCGTTGTAACGACGTAAACATGTTTTTCTATTCTTGGCGTTGACGAATTAAATTAGA